AACAAAGCAAATGAAAGAGCACTTAAAAATCTAAAATTTAAAATAGAAAAATAAATGAAAAACCAACAAATTCATAACTTACTAGCCTGTTGCAAAGATTCTTTCATTTGAGTATGCTTTAATTTAGTACTCTAATTGCTAAAAATATGGCATATACAGTAGCGATGATGTGTTGCTGGAGGCAACCACCAATCTTTTTGCATTGCAATTTTAATACTAATATGACGGTTCGATATCATACATAGATTGTCTCATTTAGTGACAAAAACTCTGATGCAATCCATAAACCAACCCCAATTAGAAGCGTCTTCCTTTTCAACTACAGCAAATGCAAGTGGAAATATTTGGTTATTCCCATCGAATGTTGTTGCACACATTAGACAACCAGTATATTTTCCATATAAGAAGGTTCCATCTAGCATTATAATAGCCTGACAATGTTCAAATCCTTCAATAGATTACTTGAATGCCCAGAACATTCGATAAAACACATTACAATGCGGATCTATGTTACCATTTATGTAATGGTCATAATCTTCAATAAAAAAAAACTGAGTCAGGATTGAAATGAAGAAATGCAGTCATGTACTGGGATAATTATCTATATGATTCATCCCATCCCCCAAATAGCTTAACAATGGCAATTTGTTTTGCATGCCAAGTTTTTCAATAAGTGGGCTCATATCCAACCTTGTCTTTAATCTCAGCCTGTAGAGCTTTAATTTTGATATTCGGTTGTTCTTCTATCATAGGCATAACAAAAGCACAAATATATTTATTATCCAAATGCCAATGATTTTGATCAATTGACTGCTAGTGTAGGTGTGACCACCACTATACCTTATGATTTTCCACACATTAGACCCATCCATCCTACTTGCCCATAATCTCCATTTACATTGATCTGATTAATGGCATATGTTGTGGGTCTAATTTCAATCGTACAACACTAATGATATCTTCATAGATGGTACTCTTTAACAACTGTTTGTACTGCATCTTTGAAGGAAAATAACATACCAACGTGAAAATTCTTTTGATGGATCCCAGTTTAAAGAACACAAAGGTTTACTGTGAGGATCCATTGTCAACAAATCAAAATCAATGTCAGACAATAATGATGGAGGAACAATAGGCAATATTGGATTCTAAACATGAGTGTTATAATATTCTTGTAAATTTAGAGAACCTCCATCGTCCATATCATCCTTATTATCATCATCAGTAGCACCCTCATCATACTATAAGTCATCTTCCTCGTCTTCATCCTCTTCATTGTAATTACCATCATTGCCATCACCACTACCACCATAACCATCAACACCTATATTACCATTATTATCACCATCCTCATCCCCATGCCTATCTCTATTTCCATTACCGTCCCTATCCCCATTCCTCTTACCATCACCATCCCAATCACCACCATCATCACCATCCCCATCACTATCATCAACATTATCATAATTACTAGGACTGGGAGGAACACCTCGAAAAATATCAATATAAAACTAAATATATGATATATCTACAAACTAACTAATATAATCAAACATTAAAGAGACATCATCATTATTCTACAACCCCATACAATCAAATCGCATATCACCATTTGCTAGTACAGGTTGTCTAAATATTATTTTGGCTAGAAATTCATTATCTTCCTTTAGTTTGATTGCCCGCACAATTTTCATTAACGACTCTTCGAACATCATCTTCAAGAAATTTTAAACATTTTAGATCTACCACCATCATATTCATATCCAATTTGACTATGAACAATCTTGCCATTCTAGTGAATATTGCCATATGATGGAGTTGTCATTTTGTGCGGAATTTATTTTTCACTTCGAATTAATCTTATGTGATCAACATTGGATATATTTATTATCTACTTTATTGTATACATGTTAAGCCATTTGTTACTATAATTGGAAAACTTCATACTAACAATTTAAAAATAAAAAAAATTAAAATACATAATCTTAGAGGTTGTGCATACAATTTAATACTTAACCTCCATAACCTAACATAATTTTATATTAAGAATATTCTCTAATTCAGTTTATAAATAAATTGTATAGAAAGATATGCAATAAAAATAATAATAATTTTGGGGACATCAAAAATTTATAACTAACATTATCTTAGTCTAAAATAATAATTAAATTAAATTAACATTTCTATGTAAAAAAATGTGTAACTTAAAAATAAACTTCTCTTGCATATACTGAGTCTAAAAAAAAATTCACATATATTCGGGTGAAAAAAGAAAACTCATATCAAAATATTAGAGTCGGCTATTTCGTTTATAATAATTAATACTATAAATTGACAAAAAAATATTATAAACTTACTAAAAAGCATGAGTCTTGAAATTTGACTTGTCACACTCTTATATGTTGAGCAGTAGAGTAGTTGCAATAGAAAACGACAATATGTAGTCCATAATTTATTTTTCTAAAGATAGCAGGACAAAAAAAGAAAATTAACAAAATCATGCACCACAATGGAGCAGCATTATAAGAGATTGCAAAGTCTTTATATAAAACTTCCGTTGAAAATGTGAAATACCTATTATTCTACTAATAATGTAACAATTGCAAAGACAATTTACGCATGAGATTCCCTACATGATTCCATTCTCTGCATGATTCCAATGCACTATTTTTATTCCCTTGCATCATTTTTTATCTCTGGGCAATTCTAAAAATCTTTGATGATTTTAAAAAATCTTTGTTTCTGTATTATCTCATGATTCTTTAACTTTTTAAATTGTTACACTTACAATGCAACAATGTGTCTTTTAATCGTGGGAACCTTACCTTGCGTACTTTACCTTGCGTGCATGAGAATCTCGACAAAGTTCAAAATATATTCTAATATTGTTTTACTTATAGTGTAATATTTAACAAGGAGAGAGAAGAGAGAATATTTGTCTGGTAAAACTGTTGGACAACATTAAAAAAATTAAAATTTATTGTTTTTGTTGTGGTTATAGAGTAACATTTGTTGCACTATGACCTAAACAAATGCCTTCGAAATGTCAACAAAACACCATTTCTGTAAATACTTTTCATAGAACACCGTTTATATATTTGTAAAAAATCCTAATTTCTTATATGTTTTGGAGGTCAGCAAGGTTTACAATATCTCCACTTATTATACACAGCTTAATAGAATTTTCAATATCGTGGTACCATATAAATGCTTGATATGTTTTACTCAAAAAAGTGCCAAGATCAAAGATACGTTCAAATTTCTGGAACGTCACTTTTATCTCATGGAATACAACCTTTTAAAAATTAGAAAAACTTGTGAATTCCTTTATTTTCTTGGTACATGAATTATTTCATTAAAATTCCACTTTTAATTTGCTATTATATCAAATATTAACGTAATTATTTTTTAAAAATATTTTAGGTCATGTGAAGATTGTTCACCCATTAGAAACAAAGTTGTGTTCTGGAAATAGATTGGAAGATAAAAGAAACATAAATATTGGAAATCTTAGATTAGTAAACTCTATATTTTCAAGTCATTTTACAATTTAAAATTTTTGAAATCATTTGTCCATGTTATACAACATTTTTATAATTTCCTCTGTATTTATTTAAAATTTGTTGGCATTTTATGGTTTTGTTATTGAAATGTTCATATGCTATCGGGTTGGACTACAATTGATAAGAGGTGAATATGAATTTCTTTCTTTTTTTTTTTTTTCATTAATGCGGAAGTAAAGAGGAAGATGCAATTCTTCTAATTGTTGTTGTTTTACCTAATTACGTGTTGGTGAATTTTATTTTCTTAGCAGTTTTTCTTCAAATGTCTATTGGCGCATTGCTTATACTGAAATTTGAAATCCTGCCAATCCAATTGTTCTTTTATACACATTGTGAGGCGAGATTTGATATTGTCGTTCCTCACTCATGAATCATGACATATCATTAGCAATTTAAAGTTTTCAATTGGCTTATTACATCTAAATTCAAAAATTCAAAAATTTAGATGTAACCATAGACATGAGAACTGCTAAAATTCTCGAGCAATTAATTATGGATTTGAATACTTTACCCTATTTATCATCCATCAATTAAGAATATCAAAATGTTCACTCTAAGGCAAAACATGTTCTTTAAGATAAAAATCTAAATGGCATACGAATAGAGCCAGATGAAGAAGTAAGAAATGTCATTGGATTATGAATGTCCTTTTCATGAGAAATTTGAATATCAAATAAAGGAATTGATAGAACCAAAGAAGAATGAGGTTGCTTATACTTTGATTCCCTAGATTGATACTAATCAAGCAAATCATAACAAACTCATCTTATTGCTTGAGTTTCATAACTTGCCTTACCCTTAGGTTTATAAATCATAGGATGTGATAATAATAGTGAATTATCTTTCATTTGTACAACATTTGCATACTTCTCAAAATTTTCAAATTTTTTTTTTTTGCGATTTCACATATTATCTCATCAATTGTACGCATCCAATCAACTAATGTATTTCAAACTCTACAAATGTTCATGAAAAAATAATTTGTTGTTGGATAATTTCAAATAGAAAACAATTCAATAGTAATATAAAAAATCTCCAAACTTTTAGTAATTTTATCTTAATTGTTAAAAAGAACATATCGAAAATTAAATTAAATAAACTTCATTGCTTACTTAGGTTTATTATGCGTGCATGTCCATCTAGTTGGAATGGAAATTAGTTCATATAAAAAAACTCATGGTTTTTATAAATTAATTCTGACATCATCAATCTGTTAGGTTAAGCAATTTCATTGAGCTGTGGACACAAAAATAAAACATCAAAGAAGCTAATGATCACTAATCTCAACCAGAATCCACCATAAAAAACAAAACACAATTTCAAATTGGATATAAGAGTTATACACTAAAAAATTATTCATGAAGTAGAAAAAAAAAAATACAATTAACAAATTTAATGCTAAGAAGGCAAGCAAAATAACTGGTTTTCAAATCTTTTATCATCTTCTGGCTATTTTATTTCTTCTTTAAATTCATCAAACCAATGTGCTTCCTTGTAGAAGCTATTAGCTCGTTTGCATTATGATCTTTGATGAAGTCTGATCTACTGTGAAGAAGAAGACATAGTAATAGAACATCACAATATTTACTATCTATTTATTAGTAAATAAATAGTAATAATATATGGTATTAATAATATTAGGGATTTCAGTCGCATTACATATTCCTTCCTTTTTCTATTTTTTCCCTATCTTCTCCCGTTTCTTATAGCTGCAATGCAGGTAGAGCGTAAAGTCAAGCATACCGCTGCCGATTGTAAATCCATTTCCGTCGTCTAAGTCCGATGAGTTAGTTCGAGGATTAGGTTGCCGATTACAACTCCATCAATTTCTTTCTCTAACTGAGGTCGCAGGTATTGTAATTGCTCTTTCCTTTTATTTTCTTATTTTTCTCTCTTTGTTTTGTTTATTAGTTTCCATATGCTCTCCAACTTCCATTTATCTTTCTATATTTGCATTACAAAACATAAAAACGACAGAACTGAGTTATGTTTAAATGTTTTACAAATGTGATTTGAGATTTTGAGTTTTCAGCTAGTTTTCCCTAAATAGTTGAATTCTTGCAAAATCAAACTCCAGCTGTTTAGATTTATGATTCCAAAGAACTCCAAATTGTTTATGGTTATGAAGCATACTGCATATTATAATTAGTTTTTATTGCTTAAAATTTAAAAAGAAAATGTCTCCGAAGTTGAAATTGAAAATTTCCTCAACTCTACTTGGACCCAAATCCTCAAAGTTTGGTATTGGGGACCATATTCTTATCTCAATAGATAGCAAAGTGAGACGCGCTTGTCAAAATTAGAACTTGTGCTTTTTCTCTGTCAAATATGTGAATGGGTGTAGGTTTCAATTTTCATGGATACTGTATAACTGTATGTATTTTATTGTCGATTATTAATTTACTAATCAATGTCAAATTAAGGTCAAAAGAGCCAAAAGTTATTTTTGCAGATAGTATGCATCTTGCGTAATAAGTTATTTTTATAGAAAAATTATCAGATAAAAAATTTCAAGCATGAAATTATGATAAAGAGTTCACTAATTATGCTTGCATGGGTGAATCTAAATTAAGCAAAGAGTAATTACACTTAGTGATATTAAAATCTAAAAGTGTAATTAATTAATTCGCACTTAATTTTCTAACGTTAAGAGTAATTGAATACCTTTCACATTTATTTATAGAGATAAATGGAGCAGGTTGGGTAGATGATAAATATATATAAATTAGATGTTTACTTAGGAAGAAATGTTGTCATGGATTTGAAATATTTTATTTTGAAAGCTAAAGATTTTCAACAGCTCATCTAAATATTTTAATTTGTAGTGCAATACACCTAACCTTTTGAGGAGCTTGCTTATGTAATTAATGGGTTTAAGTTCAAATCTTTTACTGATTATTCTTATTTAGCTTACTAGAATTGATTGCTCGCGTAGATTTGGTTTATTTACCTTATTTATTTGTAATATGTAGGGTATCTATTTATTGTTTAGAATTGCTTTTCTTTGCCTTTTTTTTTTTTTTTTTTTTTTTTACTAGATTGATGTTTATGTTTATTTACACTTAATTTATTTGTAATATGAATAGAAAAAAGGTAATTCATATTTATTGGTTTAGAATTGCTTTTCTGTGCCTTTTTTTTTTTTTTTTTTTTTTTGGTTTTGGAGGGAGGTTTACCAGTTTTGCTTTCTCTTTGCTAACTCAAGCCCTAGGTTTTTTTTTTTTTTTTTTTTTTTGGTTTTGGAGGGAGGTTTACCAGTTTGCTTCTCTTTGACAGACTCAAGGCCTGGTACCAAGATTACGATCTAGATGCAGAAGCTTGGAAGGAGTATATTCTAGATTTCAAGGAAATCTTGTGGTCCTGTTCAGCCGCCTAGAAGCAAGATATCAATGATTTCCCTGCCAAATTCCAATTAATCGACATACGATGTGAGTAATATTCACGATGATCTTTGCACTTGTAGTTTCAGGTAAGTAAGTTTCCCTAAAGCTTTGTTTGGAAAGGGAGATATTTTGGGAAGAAAAAAATTAACATATTAGGAAAACATCAAGGGAAGGATTTTTCATTGTTTTTCAAAAGGGTGAAAATATCAAAAGAATGAAAATACGCATCATTTTCCTCCCAGCCCCATAAAATTAAAATCTCTCGAAATTGGGGAGAAAATGAGGGATGAATTGAGAAAGTTGCATTGTTTAATGTAGGAAACCATGATATGTCTATGTATATGCAACTCAACAGAATCTTTTTTACTTGGAACCTCAGAAGTTAATTCATTATTTCATTGTGGGCATGAGATGATTCAAGTGCTACTATATTTGATTTTTTATTTTTTTCCCCTTCTGAGATGATGCTCATTTTGCTGGTATACTGGCATCTAAAATTGCTTAAAATACGATGTTTTGCAGTTAACTCGTGCAAATTATCCATGGATGGAGATGGAAGTTGTAAAAATTGCACTGATGGATGGAAATTTAATGCCCCAACTCCTGCTCAGGCTGAAAATGTTGAGTTGCTGTTAATTAATTCCTTGGTCTTGTGATTTTGTTTCAAACTACTAATGTAAATATTTACGTGTAAGATATATTTGATCATATGAAATACAAAGTGCAAAATATGTTTTTTATTGTGTTCCTTCGAATCCATAATAAGAGTATTAGGATCGACAATTATGAATATGCCATGAAATTAATGGGAGAAAAATTATTTCCTTACATACGTTAATTTTATAAGGTCAATATAATCCCAAATGATATTGAACATAAATAAGCCAGTAATTACAAGAAATTTTCCATGTCGAATTTAGCGGGACATAATGGAAAGCAGCCTATAATGAGAGTTTGTAAGAATTAAATTCAAACATATAATTAACTCTTTGATGCTCATCAATTTTGTAATCAAGTGTAACTGTACAAGTCGTTGCTTGTCCCTGCTCCATTTCCGAGACAAAATTCCCAACCACAGCAAGTTTCAGAAATGGTGAACCAACGGCTTCCAACTGGTCTTTAATATGCTGTGCAAGAAAGTAGCCCTCAGATGTTCCCTAAGAAGAATACACAAGTTCAACTCCTGAAAAACACAAATTGTATTTTAGATAATACATTAGTAGTTTTTTCCCCCTCGCAAATTCAATTCATCTTCCTTGTAGTAAAATACAAGATGGCAATTAATTTGCTACAGTTTAAGAAATTGACAGTTATTGCTGAAAAAATATGCATTTTCGGGCTTTGCCAGTGTCATTATCACGATACTGAACATCCCTAAATTTTGGGAAAAGTGCTCAATAACACTAACGGGCTCCAGTTTCTAACTGTCCCCATTTTGATTCTCATTCATGGTAATGTAAGAGGGTAAATAAACATATTATGAGCATCTGAAGGAGAAACATGATAAGCTTACCAACAATAGCCTCTTACTCTGACTTCTCAATCTCTCGGAATCTCCTATCCCATTCTTGGGCTTCAACATCTTGCTCAATTATGTCCCTGTCAGTACTGTAGACAATGCGATCCTGCCCTATGACTGTCTTTTGGGCCATATCCCGAGCACTAAGAAGCTGAATAAGAAATACAGTAAATTATTTAATTCCTAATGAAGTTTCTTGAATAATCTAAATGCTTTCCTTAAATTAAGTGAATATTCTCAAATAATAGCAAATGCACACTGAAGTAGATAATAATATGCCATGTCTATGGATATAATAAATGCAACTTGAAAATATGAGCTTCTTCAAGAATATGATAAAATTAAAAAAACCCACCACCGGACGTGACAATGACTAATAACAACAAATATACATATCAATGACCAAAACAATCACAAGGAAAATTTTCTCAGTTACATAATTATGCAGAGACAACCCATTACTTCACATCTTCACAATCACCCATATGCAAAACCAATCAACCCCAATGGTTTAACAAATAACTGAAAAGCCTCTTCAGTATTATACAAAACTTGGATGCGTATTTTTTACATAGGCATGCCAGAAGAGGTGATTGCATGCAGGGTGGTTATTACAAAAAAAAAAAAAAAAAAAAAAAAAAAAAAAAAAAAAAAAAAAAAAAAAAAAAAGATCCAATATTTCTAAAAAGCTAATTTTTCTCAAAAAAAAAAAAAAAAAAAAAAAAAAGATCCAATAGGTTTCTAAAAGCTAATTCTTTTCCAGTTCTTTTGATGCAAAACCATAGGATTAAAAGTTTAAGGGCCTAAAAGAAGGAAAAGGATGCCAAATTTTCAGGAGGATCTTGCCATCTTAGTAAGAAGGAAGCCACCCAGTTTTTCACTGTACATGATACATAGTAAGTTGAACATATTGTTCTCCATAAACCAGTAGATAATTTGCATACGAAGAGTTCTTATTGTTGGGTACTAAATCAAGGATGATTAGTAAGCCTCTCCCACCAGTTGGTTAAACAACACAAAGATAGCATAACCTTGAAGTTACAGAAATCAATTTTGGGGAACAAAACAAAGAATAAGCATTAGAATGGCTACCTTCTGCCTTAGTGAAGGATCAGGCAGTTCAAGTCTTCGTGCAAATTGTTCCCTTGCTCGGTTTCTCTTCTCTATTTCAGCATTCCTCTTGTTCACAAGGAACCAGCGGACCAAAGGAATAGCAAAGAAAGAACCAGCATATATCTGTGAATTCAGTCATTGTAGTCACACAGACCAAAGCATAAGAAAATCATATTTACTGGAAATAAGTTATTTATTTAATGCCATATATTCAATGTGAATCTGAAAAATGAAATTACACCTGGAGTAGAGGAAATATGCCAGTAACAAATTGAATTAATCCACTCGGTGTAACAGCAAGGTCCCTTCAGAAAAAAAGATAGAGATGTAGACATCAGGCAAATGAAAGGTAAAAGCCTTGAAGCAAGCAACAATCTGAAGAGAATCATACTTTAACATGGCTCCGAGAATAATGACTCCAAACAGGTTAAGTCCACCCAATCCGATGACCATTGCTCTCTCCGATGCACCGGTCTTGCTACAAAGTATAAACTACCTAGATCAGGGGGCTCAATTTAACAATTTTACTAATTTGGTGGCATAACAAAGCAAAAAAAGAACCTGAATTGCCATTTTTTCTCCCTGAAATACTTCTCAAGCCCAATCCAATCTGCCCATCTCTTGCCTACATATTCCTTCCTCCTACTCCTCTGAGAAGAAGCTGTACGTTGAAGTGAAGGAAATCGATACAGAATATTGCCCTACACAGTGGTGATTTGGTTAAATCTTAAGTGAAATCTTCTCATCTGATAGAGTACCACACTGAATAAAAATCTCATGATAATTCAGGTACATAGATGTAGCTATATATTCAGCTAAATATGTTTATGAGCTGCAAACTAGAAAAAGCTCAACATTGTAATTGGCATATTTGTTCAGTTACATTTCTTTTCATACCTCTTCATCAATTTCTGGCTGACCATCAAAGCGTAGAAGAACTGGTAAGATGTATGATTCATCATTCTGAAACCATGAAGAAAATATTACGTCATATATGCTGAGGAAAGCAAATAAAGATGCCGCATAAAATGAATTAAATTGAAAAAATATCCATTGGAAGTCCAGCATAGATTATAGACACAAGCAGTGATGCCATATGTATCTCCATGCATAGAATTGAAATAAAATAAGGAGAGAGAACATCTTGGACAGAATACAATGAATGCATTTCAATATAATTCCGCTGGCAGGTGGACCATGGGTGCTGAAACATAACTTGAAATAAAGAAAGAATGCCAACCCCTTAAAAATTGATAGGCATGAAGCTTTTCCACGCCAATAGAGAAAAGCATTCCAGATGGACTACTTTTGATGAGTTTCCAGAAACCAGTAAAAGGAACTATCTAGTTATCAAAGTTGTAGTTGTCAAATCAAGATTTGAATCAAGCATTGGAATCTCATTTTCTGAATCAAGAATCAAGAATTAACTCGTAAGATTAGCTATAACTTTTCAAAATCAATTAAGAAAACAATAGATCTATTTCATATTAATTTTATCAAAAGATACTAAAAACGTAAAAATTCGATTGCAAAATCATGTTTTATATACATTCCTATTTCAAATCATGTGCTAAACCTAATACTTATGTGTTTCAAGGCTCAAAATATCAAACTATTAAGTTAAAATTTTAAAACAAAAACAAAATAAGACTATCAAAATTAGGTCAATACTACAAAAAATTTCTAGCACCATTCAATTTACTTCGTTAAGGTCCTAGTAAGCTTAGAAATTAATAAAATAAAAATAACATGTAGCTTCTCATACAACAGCATTGAAATTTTAAAGTAAATCAATAGTGTTGAACTTGATATGAATTATTAATTGGTAACATAATCTAAACTTTTAATGGAATACTTGAATAAAATATTTGTAAATAATTACTTCAAAAATATATATAAATAGTTAAAAACTGAAACTGTAACACAAAAGGGGACCCAAAAAAAAAAAAAAAAAAAAAAAAAAAGTAATAATACTTCAAAAAATATATATAAATAGTTAAAAACCTGAAACTGTAACGACAAAAGCGACCCAAAAAAAAAAAAAAAAAAAAAAAAAAATCTAGCTAGGTGTTTGACAGTGAAATAAAGAAAAAAACCCCGTGCGAGTGAATCTGCTGGCAATTAAAAATTAATAAAAAAAGAGTAGTAACACTGTAAAGAAAAAAAAAAGGAGCAACATTGAAAAAAAAAAAAAAAAAAAAAAAAAATCTGAGCTAGGTGTTTGACACGTGAAATAAAGAAAAAAACCCGTTGGAGTGATGCTGGCAATTAAAATAATAAAAAAAGAGAGTAACACTTTAAAAGAAAAAAAAAAAGGAGCAACATTGCTGTTTAACATCAACAGAACAGCAGCAGAAGAAAAAGGGAAAAAAAAAAAAAGAAGAAACATAGGGAAGAGATTCATGACTTCATATCTGTAAATTTTTACAAGATAGCAAGAACTGCTGTCAAATTATCTTCCTAATTTAGGTATGTGACACATCCGATTTGGTCAATTTGCCTGCCATTCAAGCTTGATCCCAGTCACTGTAAGATTCCTATCTAGTGGCATGATAAATGACTCCAGATATACGATTCAAATCACGAATCATACAATTCTAATAACATTGAACAAATTCAATTCACAATAGCTTATTGATTGGAAGGATCCATGTGATACAAAATACAGAAAAGCATAAATAAGAGAAAGAGTCATAAACCAAAGATAAAAAGTATAAGATGACTAATATCAAGACTTGACTGTGGTTTCCTTATTTACGTTGGGGAAGAAGAAGCAGGAGGTATGAAATTGATTAATCTTTGTACAGAGGTCTGAGGCTATTCTAGTATTACTGGGTTTTGAACAGACAAGCATCTATTCCTACTCTTATATGAATCTGAGAGCATATAAAACATGGACTAGTTTTCCATCACAAATAGCGCCAAGAAACTTCATTTTCAATGCAAGCCAAATAATAATTAAAAAAAGGGTTAACAGAGTACCACAGTTTGCTCAGTATTTTGTAAATCAAGATATGGTGCAAGTTCTTCAGCTGTGACAACTCCTCCGTTTGAGGAAATGTATTGCCCAATCTGCAAATGCATCCCAGAGAAAATGATTAAAGACTAATATCAGACTTGGGTACTTAAGGCTGTTCTCAGTTTCAATCATATTGAAAAGAATAATCCCAAGTTCACAATTTAAGTAAAAATTTTTCAAATAAATGTTACTACAATGACATTATCACCACAAAATTATAAAAATAAATGTCTCCAAAAGTAGTCTTTTGTAAATGATGACACCTAAAATTGCTATTATAATATTCATCATCGTCAATCAACACTTAGTGAAGAATGATCAACAGTCAATTATGACTTATGGGTCAAAATCTAATATAAAACAGAACCTATGAGCTTACTTTTTGGATCTGGCTGAAAAGATCAGGTGTAACAAAACAGGTTAAAATGATTCATATGGTTAAAAGAACCTCTAGACATCTGGGTAAAATCCAAAGATGGATGGTCAATAGCAGTCAGCAGAATCTTTAACAAGTTCATGAAATAGAACATGAAGCCAAAATATAAACTTAGTATGACAAATGGAAGATAGGTGGTGGGAATATGACAATGTTTAATGAAATGAAACATAGAAAATATATGTAAACTATGATGAATGAGAAAGAAAAAGGCATGTGAAGTGAAAGGGCACAACCAATGAGCTGAAATAAAATGTTCAAAGCAACGGACCACTGAATTCAGTGCTGAAGTATTACCAACTTCCACCTTTCTTCTTCAATTCCTTGATTAGGATCACCATCGCCAAATACAAATGAGAAGACCTAAAAGGCCATTAAATAGTTGATTTTCTTTTCAGAAGTCAAAAAAAGAAGAACCACATGATTTTCAAATTTTTAGCTTACAGATTCAATGAAGTTCATCTTCTCATCATCATCTGTTTGTACTCGGCGCCTCCTATAGTAATATGGATCCCAGTACCTGAGGGGAAAAAATGCATCTAAAATTTCTCTAAATTTCACTTTCTCAATAATTGGAAGTTGGGATATTACACATGGGAAAGAAAGCGATTATGATATCCCATGTATATTTGAATAAAAGGATAAAACTCATAATTCACAATGCAGTTTTCAACATGAACTTTTGCAAATCAAACAAGTATTGGCAAATTCTCAACCAACCAAAATTAATATTCTTTACCATCTCCAATGGTACGTTTATAAATTACATATCTCTAGAGAGCATAGGTATATGTAACCTAATAATATGCACAAAAAAAAAAATCTAAAATCACCATAATTATGTGTACCACTATTTGGACCTCAAAGCAAACAGGTGGATATTAGCATCAGAGATACATGAAAAGTGAAAACCACAAATAGAATGCATGCAATCTAGTTCATAAAAATACTATAGTAGCAAAATCACTTGGAATCTAGATCATGATTGTCAAAGTCTAAATGATTGCACAATAAAGAAGAAATTTTAAACTCAGGGCACCCACAACTGCTACATTTCACATTATGAAAGTTTATTCCACAGACTCATTATCAAACAAGGAGAGTGGACAAAAAGGAGAAAAAGAAATGGATGGTGAGGCAAAGGCTTGCATGGACAACAGCCAAATAATATTGACAATAAAACAAATTTTGCAAACAAGTAAGTTGCAAATGTGGCAACAAAGAATTATTGCTTCTTGATTAACATTCCACTTATTGAATTTCTCATTCTTCCTTTCTGCAGGATATAATTGAAACCAATGACCATAACAGACTTTTAGTATTAGTAAGAACATCCATTTATGATTTCTAACAATAGCATGATCTCAAAAACCATTCAGAATTGTTTCAGTCCAGTGAATATACCAAAATAGATCTGTAGGATTAAAGTAAAAGGTGAATCCCGAATCATATGATCTGCCTCCACGTCTTCCACGATTGTCTTCATCACTGTCACCAAGAACTTTACTGTCAGTACTTTCTCTGTCACAAAGATTACTAACAATAGCAATTCAAAAGTCAACGTAGTCAATTACCTTCTACTTGAAAGGAGAGCAATTATTGTTGTGTAAACAAGAACTATTGAAGCAATCAGTGCTGTCCCAAAGGAAACTCTAATAAGATATTCAGCACCTGCCTATTATGTAACAATGGTTAAACCCATGATTAAAATTATTCTAGGATACAAATCCAAAGAAAATGTAACAGGTTTCGATACCTTTGCCTTATCAACCAAAGGTTCAACTTTCATCCTAAATGACTTTGCTGCTAACTTTGACCGATAATCTTTAGGAAAAACATAAAGCACATCACCTTCGTCCGAAACCTGTTGAGACCATCTTGAAAACAATTGCATTCATGAAATCAAGAACTTCAAAGAGTCCAGACATAGAAGAGAAATGAAAAAATCCTTCTACGGTCAAAACCGCTGCAATATTGAAGTATGAAATGGATACCTCCAAAAAGCCATTGGTATCAGCAGCAAGAGCCTGAAGAGCCTTTTGAGCTTCGTTTAACTTAAGCCCAGCCTTGCTCGCTACATCTCCTATCGTAACCCTTCCTCCACAACTATCAACAGCTTCCATCGTTCGCTTCCTCACATCCGCAGGCAATTTATCGCTCTCTACCACACCTCCAGGTCTAATTCCGGTCGTCAAATCAATGCTTGCCCTAACGGCTGCCACAGGAACCCTAGGTTTAGCAACTCTGGGTGGAATTACCGAATAAGGAAGTGGTTTGATTCTGATAAAAGAATCAGGCGGTTTAAGTCGAAATAAGGGTTTTGAAGTGAAATTCGACTGCAAGTATCGAAATCGAGATTTTGGACATACGGTGAAGCATGTAGATATAGACGCCATCATAGAATTCTTTGTTTTTTTCGGTTCTGTTTCAGAAGAATATGGAAGGTTTTGCCATGAATGCTGAGAGAGGAAGCTGTTACAGTATCTTCGTTAACTCTCTACTTGAGTGGTGAGTGGCTTAGAAATTAGAAATGTTGATATTTCCTTTTTTCTTACTTTTCTACTTTCTCTTAAATTATTTTTTCTTTTTTTATTGGAAGAAGGTTCAATTTGGCCCCTATATTTGGGCCTAATATACAAAATGCTCAAAAATGAGTTTTTTTTTTTTTTATCAAAGAGCCCATTTACCTAGAAGGTAGGTAAACACGCTTGAACTTCAAATATAAGAAAATCGCGAGGTAAAAAAAAAAAAAAAAAAGAATTGGAAAGAATCATTTGCCCCTTATATTTGGGCCTTAATATACAAAATGCTCAAAAATGAGTTTTTTTTTTTTTATCAAGAAGCCCATTTAACCTAGAAAGGAAGGTAAACACCGTCTTGAGAGAGCTTCAAAATATTAGAAAATCGCGAGGTGTAAAAAAAAAAAAAAAAAAAATACTTGAAAAGGTCTATTCACCCTTCTTCTCTACTACGTCTACCTTTCAACTCTCCTTCCTCTCTCTATTATGTTTTGTTATGAAGTTTTTTTTTCTCAGGAGTTTTGGAAAAACTAGATTGTAAAGATTGGAATGATGTGTTCGTGTCGACTCTAAGAGAATCTTTTTGATTTTGTTATATTTGGATGCAGGACGTACAATTCCTAGTCTACTAACTATATAGATTTCACAACAAAATATAAAAAAAAAAAAAAAAAATACTTGGAAAGTCTATTCACCTTCTTCTCTACTACGTCTAACCTTTCAACTCTCTTCCTCTCTCTATTATGTTTTGTTTATGAAGTTTTTTTTCTCAGAGTTTGGAAACTAGATGTAAAGGTGGAATGATGGTGTTTCTGTCGATCTAAGGAGATCTTTTTGATTTGTTATATTTGGATGAGACGTACAATCCTAGTCTACTAACTAATAGATTTCACAACAAAAATGAGTTTGTACTTATATGATAAGAGTGGAAGAGTAAGAGTTCTTTAAATCCTCGCGTTTTGGTTCCTTTCTTCATTTTTAATCAGATCTATAGCCTCGTTAAGTTGATTTCTAATATGGATTTCTGTGTAAATTGTAAAGATGGTCTCCTTCTAATATGAGAATTAGGAGATAATTTTTTATTCCTTTTTTTTCTTTTTTGTTTATATTGCTTGGGTTGTTAATTTTGTTTGATTATCTTCATTTTGTTAAGAAAATAAGGTCACCTTTTTTCCTATATTAGGTTGGAGGAGGAAAATATAAGAATCTAAATGGAATTAATTTTGTTTTTGGACAGCATAAGATATTAATTGTTGCATGCTTGATATTTGTAATGATTGATTTGACGATGGTTATGTTTTTGCTTAGAAAGATAGTGTAGCTATAGTATTTTGTCTATGGCCCAACTCAACTTTGTAGCAGTTTATTTTGATTTTGAGTGACACTGGGTTGTGTTTTGTAATCGGGATAAATGAATCTATTGTACCTATAAATGAAATTAGGTATGAAATGCAATGATTGCAGTTGGGGTGCAATAATTACTTCGCATTATGCACATAAACCAGAATGGAGAAAAAGTTAATTTATACTCCTTGTTCCAAAAAAGATAATATATTCTTTATTTTTCCGATTAAGAAATAATAATTATTATCGTTAAAGAATAATTTTATTCATATAACTTTTCTATTATATCTATATCAAATAAGATATGAGTAATTATTATATTAAAATAATAAATAAAAATTAATAAGAGTTATTGAAAATAAAATAAAATTTAATAAAAATATAATAGACAGTTTAAGGATTAATTATGATATAAAAAAGAAAAGTCAACTATATTTTAAAACAATCCAAAAAAATAAGATAAACTAACTTTTTGGAACGAGGAATAAATTTTATGTTACGCAAATATCTCGTATGTTTACATAACAAAGAGGAATTTAACAAATAATGGCACTATTAACATAAAAAAAAAAGGACAGTAGTGGCTAAAACCAAAGCTGGGTTGCTCAATATACATAACATATCCATTTTCTATTGACAAATTCCAAATTCACAAAACAACATTATAACAACAAAGATATGATAGCAATATTTGTTTCATTTCCTGTTCATAAAAATCTCAGCAAAAACATGTCATACATCTCCTTAAAACAACAAAAAATTGCATAATTTCATTCTCCTAACATCCTACAATGTCCAAATTGGATGCAAATCACAAAATCATTACAAGCCACAAAAAAAAACATATCAGTTCCCTACTGAGCTCCTTGAAACAGTAGGTTGCTTCTTTGACTTCTAACTAATCAAAGATTCTCCAAGAAAAATGAAATACCCAGTTATGGATTTCCTTGTGTCTGGGCATCCAGCATGATTTACTATCACAAAAGGCAACTAGTCAAATTTGATTGTGAAAAAAAGAACCATTCTTGACCAATAGTCCCTTTCAAATATCTAAGCATCTTAAATGCAACTTTTAAACGAACATTAGAAAGATTTGTCCATGAATTGTGCTAACATGTGAATGTCATAAGCAATATCTGGTTGCCAATCAATTGCCTATAGAAAGTGGGATCAAAAATACTCTTTTTGTATCTCAGAAGCTTTACATTAACATTAACATGAATGGAATTGGATTTAGCACTAAGTAAACCATGTTCTTCAATCACTTCAAGTACATACTTTCTCTGTGAAACCATAATCCCCTTTTCTGAACTAGCAGCTTCAAGACCCATAAAATACTGCAATGTCCTAAATCTTTCAATTTGAAATAGGAACTTAAGTAGCTTCAAAATCCTCAATTAAGAGCTTGTTACTACAACCCACAATGATATCATATACATATATTAAAAGTGCACTAAAACCTCTATCTGATAATTTTGTGAATAAAGAATAATCAAATTTTGATTTCACAAAACCTTCCTTGAGTAAACTCTTAGTAAATTTTAGATTCCACTGTCTTGAGGCATGCTTTAAGCCATACATTGATTTTTGCAATTTACATACAAGTTTTGATCTAACAAAACTCCCATACTCCCCCTTAGGGAAATACCCCTGAGGTACTCCATACAGACTTCCTCACTGAGGTCTCCATTTAAAAAAAAAAAAAACTTTGTTTATACATAACTGTCACAAGTGCCATTTAAAAATAGCAACAAGAGTGAGAAACAACCTGACTGTGGTATGTTTAGCCACAGGGCTAAAGTTTTTTGACATTCAAATCCTGCTGTTTGAATATAACCCTTAATCACAAGTCTTGCCTTAGACCTTTCCATCATCCTATATGATTTAAACTTAGTTTTATAGACCCATTTGAAACCACGGGTTCGACATTGGAAGGTAAAAGAACATATTCTAATTGTGATTTGATTCCAAAACATCTAATTCATCTTACATAACACTCTTCCAATAATCAGATTTAATAGCTTCAAAGTAGGAATTTAGTTCAAGAATAGAAGAGATACTGAGAATAAAAAATTTGTAAGAAAGAGACAATCTATTGTATGAGAGATAATGAGAAAGAGGGTGAGAAGAAATAAAAGAAATAGAAGAAAATGGAACAAAATAAATATGATAATCCTTGAGATAAGATGGTAAAGGTTGTATTCGGCAACAACTTTTAAAGTAGCTTTTAGTGTTTTGACTGATTAAAAAGCTAAATGCTATTTTTTATATTGTTCGGTAACATAGTATTTGAACTGGTTTTCAGAAATTAATGCAGCATTTAATAAAAAAGTTAACTCATGAATTGTTTAGCTTTTAGCGTTTTATGAAAAACTACTGAAACAGCTAATAGCTAAACGCTACTAAAACCGCTAACAACTATCAAACAAATAATTTTACCGAATAGACTCAATGTATCTATCCTAGAAGACCTTCAAAGAATAGGTTCAGGAACTTGAATAGGAATAACAACAGAAAGAAATTCATGAGAACTTGGTGCAATTGGAGAGGCAGTAATTTGAATTTCATGAACTTCAGTAGTGACAGAATTATCAAGAGCTGCAAAATTAGATGGAAAAGAACTAGTTCCTGAATTCGGAGAAACATTAATTCCTAAATCAGAAGGTAATATAGGCAAAGTGTGAGAAGCAGGAAGGAATGGCAAGACATACTACTTCAAAAACAGGTTTTGAAAAATTAAAAGGAGAGATGGTTTCATAAAAGATCACATCTCTAGAAACAAACAACATTAGACTCTAAATAATAAAGGATGTAATATTTAACATCTATTGGATAGCCACTCAAAATAGCTTTCTTAGCCTACTATCAAAGTTGATTTTATGAGAAACAATATTGGAGGCATAACAAAGACAACCAAACTAAGTAACTAAGTTATTAGTTGTGGCCCATCTCATATTTCTAGTACTCAGCTAAACTAGGTCACTATAATATAAATAAATACATAAGTACAACAAAAGCACAATCATATTACATCTTTTGAATTTGCCTTTACAAGTTTCTTTTCATCCTCTGCTTGACATAGTCAAAATCAATGCATGCCATTTCACATGTTCTAAAGCATGCATGGACTATATATAATAAAAATATAACTGATCACTTTCAAGTATAGAATACCATGTGAAGAAAATACACAAGTTCTAAAGCAATTTTATGCATTAAGTCTAATTTTATTGAAAGCATCCATATTAATGAATATAATATTTATGAGATAGGTTATGTAAACTTGGAGGCTTAATACATTAATTAGCTACTGAACTTTACAAGAAAAGTTAACAAAAAGAAAAGGCCTAATTTAGAAAATACCCAAATTTTGAGACTTGTTGTAGAATCACTCTAAATTGAGTGCCTCTATTTTCAAATATAAATATATTAGCATCCCAAAAGTAATTTAGAGTTAGAATTATGAATGAAAAAATAATATTGTAGGCTCCACTTCTCAACCTTGGTTACCCTAACCCAAGGCATTAAAACTCACTGTTTTTATCACAAACATTACAAAACCATCTCTTTCTATCTGCTTCTTCTTCTTGCCGTTAATATACTTCCTTTGGCTTTTTTGTTTTTTCCTTGGGTATTTTGCTATTATGCATCTTTATATGTTTAATTATATGTTAAGAATTATATAGTTCACTTTATTTTAATGCTTATATGTTTCTGTAATTTGCATAGCGCTTGAAAGAATTTTATTTCTCCTTTTGGCAGAGGAGAAGAATTTTTCCAAATAAATAAGAATTTTCATTAGATACAACTTTTAAAGGTTATATTTATATTGATAAAAGGAAAAGTTATGGTCTCTAAATATTTAAAGAGATCAATTCCTTACCCATGTACTTCCCTTAATGCAAGCCATCTGGAGCATTGCATATATGAGAAACCAAATTTGGGGTTTTAAGGTTGTCACCATATGTGAACAGCTGAATATTTGTAATGGTTGAACAAATCGTTAAGTCTATTTTGCTTAGTTGAGCATAAATCCTACACTTTGTCGATAATGAAGAAGAAGATGAAAGAGGGAGAAAGAGAGAGGGGTTTGTGACGTTTGTGATAAAAAACGATGAGTTTTAACTGTTTAGGTTAAGTTAATGTGAGGTTGAGAAGTGTGACTCCCAATATTATTTCTTTATTCACAACCATAACCCTAAATTACTTTTGGGATGCTAGTATATCCCCCGAAGGTATCAAGTTCAATTTAGAGTGACCTGCGATAAATCTCAAGTTTGGAGTATTTTTATAAATTAGGAAAAAAAAAAAACTACAGCACGAGGAAAAGCTTTCTTGCGTGTTTAGGTGGGTTGACATAAACTATTAAGAACAATATTTTGGATGATCAAGGAAAAATAGAGATGAAATTCTACTGAATATTATTGATTTTATATTAAAATTAAATAATTTGCTAATACCAACTGAAATTCAGTTTGTGTTGAATAACCCAAATAGTGAAAACATTGTCTTGACTCTTGTGAAAACACTATATTAACAAAAAAAAAAAAAAAATTCCATAGCTGAATTCACGAGGTTATACATTTCATTATTATATAACATCACATTCAGAGTTCAGGTTTCATATTGTGCATTTTACTCTAAAAAGTTTCATAATATACAGATCAATTATATAAAAATCATGGTTTAACTGAATGTCAAGCAAAACAACCTCATTCAATATGTTATAATCATCACTTACTTCCACAACAAGAATTTGGTACCTCCAGCCAAACACTTGAAGGCCTCAGCTCCAGTTTTTCCTCTTGCTTTCTCCCGTCTTGCCTGGACTGAGAAGCAGGGCATCCTTACTTTTGAATATACTGGACGGATCTCCTGATATTCTTCCATTTCTTCCATGCAAAGCACAATATCTAAAGAATTAGAAATTCTTTGATTCCATTCACCGTAGACCTTTCTTTAACTCATTCCAAAGCAGAAGGAGCACGTCTCCTAGTTTTTTAGCTAGTCTTTACACTATTTGCAAGATAGTGAGAAAGTAGCTAATTTAGAATAAACCTGTTCTGCTTTTTTCTCTGGATTGATTTCTTTGCTTCCTCATTGGTTGATGCAACAAGGCAAATGCTTTAATCCTCAGAGAGATCTTCTCTTCCCATTTGACCCTTACACTGTCATCATCCTTTATACACCTATGGTTCCCAGCATTTTAAAACCGTATCAGGCTCTATTTCAGCACCATCAGCCATTTCTTTAAGCAGCTCTTCCATTTTTATCAATCTGCAGCTGCTAGCAATAACTCTTGGCATTCTTATTGATGAGCAACTGGAATCTGCACGAATTTGTTTAGCTTCTGCTTTCACTTTTAGTTTCTTCCTTACCTCATCGATTTACTATAGTCCATATACATATGTCTGTTCCTACAGATTCCTGTAAACATAAGCATTAAAAACTATAGCAATCAGATAAACTTCATCAAGGAGAACATTCTTACCACAGTTGAGAGAACCCAGTTAGTTCTGCCAAAACTCATGGCACAAAGTAGAAGTATCAACAGGAAGAGGTATTCACATTTACTCCTCAACACAATCAAAATGCTACATTCCAGGACTTCCAGACTTAGAGAGTCCATCCATTAACCTATTATATGTAGCAAGATCAGGTATAAATTCCTTATCTAACATCTGATCGACCAGATCTTCCCCTTCCTTCTTATTTCCCTCTCTCGTATACCCAGAAACCAAAGTGTAATATGTCATCTCATCTGGTTCCAGACCCTTGATAGAGGCCAATAATCTCAATTTGTTAGCATCAGCTGTTCTTCCCACATAGCAAAGATCTTGAATGAGGCAATTAAAGGTCGTAATATCAGAAATAATACTCTCTTTCAACATCCTTTCCATCAATCTAAATGCCTCTTCTATTTTCCCCAATTTCCTCAAACCTTCTATCAAAGTCGCACAAGTAATAAAGCAGGGTACATTTCCACTACTCCACAACTCAGCCAACAACTCCAAAGCTAGACCTGCATGTCTTTTCTCACAAAGCTTCTCCACAAGTATACAAAAATCAAACCTTCTTGGCAAAACCCCTTTTCTTGAGAAATCAATCAACAATTCACAAGCCTCCAAGAGTCTCTCTTCCCTACAAAGCCCATTAACCAAAATCTCACAACTCACACTTGAGAACTCAAACCCTAAATCTATCATTTCATAAGCCATCTTAACTCCTTCCTTAGACTTCCCTTCTCTAAAGAAACCCATAATCAAAGTATTAAAACTAATCACATTAGGCTTACAACCCTTCTCCTTCATCTCCTTAAACAACTCCAAAGCCAAATCAAACTTCTTATGCCTACAATAGCTACCAATCAATATATTAAAAGTGAACACATCAGGCTTAACTCTATCTTTCAACATCCTATTATAAAACTCCGTAGCCTTAGCATGCAACCCACATTTCACATATCCGTTAATCAGAATATTATAGACAGCTACATTAGGCCTCCCATCAATCAATTTCTTCATAGTCTCAAAAGCAATTAATGCATCATTCAATTTCCCTGCTTTACAATAAGCATTAACAGAAAATTGAAAAATGGATTCAATTCTCGGGCAAGAAAATATACCTTCAGAGCAAGGACAGGGATTGGCAGCCATAAAAGAAAGAAGCGAAGCGACATCGTTGAGTCGGTTAGTGATGGCAAGAGTGCGTGCCATCCATTCAAAAGTGGAGTGATCATGGCGAAAGGAGTCAATGGTAGAAGCCCAATTGAAGACAAGCAAATCATAGTGAGAGAAGAGCGGGTGGTGGCGAAGCTTGGATTTGAGGAAGTGAAGGAGATTTTCAGGGGTAAGAGGCTTGGTGGCCAGGTGGGTTTGGAGAAAGCGAAGGAAAAGGGAGTGGTGAGGGGTGGGGGTGAGAGTAAGCGTGGGGAGAGGGGTGAGAGGAGACGGTGGTGGGTCTGGCAGAGGAGGGAGCGGCGGTGGCGGTGGAGGTGAAGGGGTTCGATCCAGTTTTCTGAGAATGGGCAACGGAAGTTTCTTCTTGAACGACATTTTCTAGACGTCGTTTCCGTCTACTGAGTTTTCGAGTCTCCGTAGTTAAACAATAAATAAGAAAAGGGAAAATAATCAATTGTTCCTGTACGATATGACCAAACCAAATTATTCTCGTATTTTATTAATATTAATTAATGGTTTGCTTCCCTTAAATCCTTCAGTCTTTTCATTCATTTTTCTTTTAAATTGTGTGAAAAGACAAAATAACCTTACAATCAAAAAAAAAAAAAAAAAAAAAAAAAAAGTCTTCGTAGTCACACCAATAAATAAGAAAAGGGCACACATATATCTCTATGTTTTCACCTTACGATGAGTGACCAAACCAAATTATTCTCGTGTATTTATGTAAATTAATTAATGGTTTGCTCCCTTAAATCCTTCAGTCTTTTCATTTCATTTTTCTTTTAAATGTTAATACCATTTTGTGAAAGACAAAATAACCTTACAATTCCAAAAATAAAAAAAAAAAAAAATAAAAAAAAAAAAAAAAAAAAAAAGAAAGAAAGTTAAATTAGCAACAAATATCAATCCATTCTCATTACACTCACTACATTTAACCATCTTCTTTTGCACAACATCCAAGGATTTGCAACTTCCATTACGCTCCATACACATTACAAACCTAACTCCTCCACACCCTTCACATTCGTCGGCAAGTTGTTTAAGAATCCCATGAAATAAAATCTCTAATTTCCCTTCATCTAACTTCACCACTTGATCAGCACCACTGATCAATCTTCCTTTAACAAACACAAGTGGAATTTTCACTTCTTTTTTACTCATTAGCCCTCTTAGCTCCTCTTTAAAATCCGAATCCATTGAAATATCTCTTTCAACAAGATGAATGTGATGTGATTAAATAATTGACCTTACAATGTTACAATTCTCAAAAGTTCTTCTAATTCCTCGCAATGTAGAGAAGAAAGATAATTTTCTCATAAAAATTGAAAATAAAAGAGAGAGAATGAAACAGAGCATTCTCCTTCTCCTTCTCTGTCTCCCCATTCTTGGCACGACAACTCTCACTGAACATTAAAAGCACATTAATTTGTTGTTTTGATCGCCTTCTTTGATTTTTCTTTCCATGGCCAAGATCGGTGTCTTTTATTTCGATCCAACGATCATGGCCAAGGCGATTGAATTAAAGAAGGAACTCCAAAAGCTAGTTAGGACCATTGTAGATGATAAGGATTGTAACTGGTCTTAGACTAAAATCTGAAATTTTCTCTACCTTATTTTCTTTCCCACCAAAAGTCTTAGCTTTTCTTGCGACCCAATTTGATTTAAGAACTTAATGGACTTCTTGTCTCTATATTTGCAAACCCATGAAGCAAAACCCTAGTTTTAGGGCTTTTCTTGGAATGATTCAGAATGGGTATTCCTCATCCTCATCCTCCTCCTTCAAGATCTTCCATGAGTTTCCAAGTATTTATAACCTCTGGTTCTTCTTTAACTAGTAACCTCTATTGCATGGGAGTTTCCCATTCTCTTTTTCATTGTTGCAGTCGACGGCAAGATTGTATTTAGAGGTTCAGCTGGAGTTAACAGTTGTGTTTTGGAGAGGTGGAAAGTTAGAGATAGGACGTGTTTGGAGAAGTGGAAAGTTAGAGATAAAAGGAGAGAAAATTAGAGGGAAAGCGAGGATATTGTTGTCTTTTCTTATTTAATTGTGAGGCTATTTTTGTCTTTTCACATATTTTAACGGCAAAATCAGAACAAAATAGATGAAAGGAATGGATGATTTAACGAAAATAAATTTCAGAGACTATTAATTAATATTGATAAAATATGAGGATGAGTTAATTAATTTGATCAAACTTCACGTGCCAATTAATTATTTTTCCATGAGAAAATAAGATGTTTGTTAATGGGTATTTTGGTAAATATTGATCTCAGATTTTGGAGAAGTGGAAAGTTAGAGATAGGAGGTGTTTCCAGAAGTGGAAAGTTAGGATAAAAGGAGAGAAAATTAGAGGGAAAGTGAGGATATTGTTGTCTTTTCTTATTTAATTGTGAGGCTATTTTTGTCTTTTCACATATTTTAACGGCAAAATCAGAACAAAATAGATGAAAGGAATGGATGATTTAACGAAAATAAATTTCAGAGACTATTAATTAATATTGATAAAATATGAGGATGAGTTAATTAATTTGATCAAACTTCACGTGCCAATTAATTATTTTTCCATGAGAAAATAAGATGTTTGTTAATGGGTATTTTGGTAAATATTGATCTCAGATTTTGGAGAAGTGGAAAGTTAGAGATAGGAGGTAAGGGGTATTTTGGTAAATATTGGTCTCAGAGATTTTCTGTTTAATAACCTTCAGAGCCCTCTTTCTCTTCTCTCTTCATCATCCCTGTGGAATTAAGCAATTATGAGAACTTGCCGCCTCCACGGAAATCTGCACTATACAGCAGCATTTCCCGGTTTCCGAAAGCAAAACAAGTCTATTGCACCACTGCCCTTCCATGTCTACAGTAAGTAAATGCTTCTACTTTCTTCTCATTTATTGTGACTTTGTCTTCCTCTTCTTCTTGTGTCTCTTCTATATCCTGAGAATTGAACCGTGGTGTTGTTTATTTTTGCAGGATCTTCGCGCTTGTCCATACAGTGTGCTGTTCGCTTCCGCCCTTGCATCGACATACACAAGGTATTCAAATTGATCCTCTTTGCGTTTATTCCATTCCGTTAATTTAATTCTCTGTTAATTGGTTTTCCCATAAAAATGCATTGCCCATAACTATCTGAAATATAACAGAAAAGAGTATAGGCATAGCAATGCTTCTTATTTATACTTGTAAAGTTTAGAATAGTTTAGAATAATTAGTTTATAGTAATAGGTAAGTGTTCAGCTTTATTATATCTGTTGGGGTTATGTTTGGTACACCATAATCTAATAATTGAATGTATTTTTAGTTGAATGTATTTTAAGGCGAATGCATTTTTAGTTTGCATTACATTGCATTCCATTTATGTTAGGGCATCCAAACATAATCTTTTAAGATATCAATTTTCAGGCTGGACAATGGGGAAATTGCTGTGTTTTCCTTGTTTCATTTAAGCATGTTACATCTTCCTGTATTCTGAGTAAAATGTTTTGAGATTCATTTTTGTGCATGGTTTATAGGGAAAAGTGAAGCAAATTGTTGGGTCTACTCTTCGGGATTTAAAAGATGATGGATCTATTCTTGTAACAAACTTTGAATCAGACAAATCTGCCGCAGAGTTTGCCAATTTATACAAAGAAGATGAGCTTACTGGTGGTCATGTAATCATGCTTGGTGCTGATCCTTTAAGCAAAACTGCTGCTATTGAAGCACTACATGCCTATCCTGGTAGGTATAGTTTGCTTTATATTTATGGTGTGTTTGTTTTCTTTGATAACTTGGTTTAACATAGCTTTTCATGGTTGGGTTTGAGTCTATGGGAATAATTAATAATCTCTGGATTCCTTCTCATTTAATTGCCCTGTTAACAATATAAAACTTAAATTTGAAATAACATCTCATTGTTCACTCTGATATTTCAATGGGAAATTGGGAATCACACTCATATTGAGTATTCTCTTTTCACTTTTGATTTATGGTTGATGTATGTTTAAAACTTACAGATTTTTCCTCTGCTGAACTTACTGCGAGGACTGGAAAAATCTAGGCGGCTTGCAAGTTGGAGGCGGTATAAATTCAGACAATTGTTTAAGTTACGTCAAAGAAGGAGCCAGCCATGTCATTGTCACTTCAGTATGTTATAACCTTCAATATTCCTTTCGATTTTGAATTAATAAATTAGTGCATTTATTTTCCCAAAAATTGCTCTGACTTCAAATCCAAAATTTCCGCTCATGTTTCCCCCTTAATTTGTATCCTCCTCATTGGTAATATGGTTATTAAGACCGCTTTTCAACCTAGGATTGGATATGTGTTGATAAAATCGTATTGTAAACTAGAATCATATAATCGCAAGATTTTACATATCATAAAAAAATAGTATTTAAAAATAAAAATAATATAAAAATAATAATAATATTAATAAAAAAATAAAAATAATATTTAAAGATAGAAAATATAGTAAGATTGTAAGAATGTAAAATTTGTTTGGTCATGAAGTCATTCAATATTTAAAACTTTTTCAAGCAATTTATACGACTTTATCCAAGATTTGGTCTAGGCACATGTCAAATTGTTTTCTTGAAGTTGACTTGTAAACTCGTAAAATCATAGGAGTTCACTTGCGCTTTTGACAACTATGGTTGGCATGCATTCTGATCTACACAACCAAACCACGTACTTTCATAGATCTCCATGTTTGAAGAAAAATAGAGCTTACATCTTGTTAAGCAGGTAATATTCAGAGTTTATATGTTTAATATACAGGTGAAAAAATCATGAGAAATATGTTGTACCTTGACAGAGTGTTCTGGAGAGAAGTTGCATTTCCTTTTTATGTTACCTGCTTCCATCTTTTTCAGAGTGCAAAATTTTCTTATTTTGCTTTTAAAATTATTGTTTCTCTTGCAGTATGTTTTCAACAATGGTCAAATGGACCTGGAAAGACTAAAAGATCTTGTCAGTATTGTTGGAAAGCGAAGGCTGGTGCTGGACCTTAGCTGCAGAAAGAAGGTGTGACTTCAAAAATTGTATTTGGCTTTCTTGTTGGATGAGTTGATTGAAATCTGAGATGGGATTAATTGAAACTTGATGATTAGGCATAAGCTTTCAAACTTTCCTCCAATATTATTCCTTTTTACTTGATATTATTGTACATTTGGTGAATAATTTTAAGCACAATTAATGCAATGCAGAATATTGAAGTGATCAGAAAGTTTATGGCATATTTGAACTGTTGGAACTTAAAAGAAAGACGTGTTCAAAAAGTTTTAGCTACTCTTCTTTTCACAAACTTGAAACTATTTTATTTTCAACCACTACATTTTACAGCCATGTATGTGCTGCTTCTCACATGCAGGAAGGTAGATATGCAATTGTAACTGATAGATGGCAAAAGTTCAGTGATGTCTATCTTGCTGAGGAAGTATTACAATTTCTTGCCAACTATGCGGATGAGTTTTTGGTTCACGGTGTTGATGTTGAAGGGAAAAAGTAAGTCTTTTAGTCTTTTATTATACAATTCTAAAATAATTTACTATAAATCCTCTATCAACTCTCTGATTCACTCTCTTTCTAGACTCTCAACACTAAACAAAGTAGAGAGCTCAAGCCCCGGTTTTAGACACAGAAGAATATTTAATTCAAGATCTTTTTATTCGATACTGGGAACTCTAATTCATCATGTTTAAGCCTTACACATTGACTGGTAGGCGGAACTTAAATATAGTAAGCACGGTTTTTCTTGACTGATTTTACATGATGTTTTACCCCAACTCTTGGACAAGGATAATTTGCTTTATAAACTAGAGACATTCTCTTATAACTTACCTATATGAGTCCTTTGTATTGGTTGTTTAGGTAGGATGAGAAACAAAGGTCAGTGTTGTAAATCTGAAACCTTTCATCCTGAGACCGAATAATTGTAATCTGGCCGTTCCTTATAACAATCCAATACCTTCAATTGTAAAATCTCCCTCTTAATTTTGTTTTTGCTTTTATTTCTCTAATAACTAAAAAAATGAAAAACATGCACAATTGAGGCCATGCCATTCTGTTGCTTGATCTTTGGCATGACAGGATATGCTTTTGAATTTTTTTTTTTTTTTTTTTTTTTTTTTTTTTTTTTTTTTTTTTTTGCTTTTATTTCTTCTAAATAACTAAAAAAATGAAAACATGCACCAATTGAGGCCATTTTTTGCCATTCTTGTTGCTTGATCTTTGGCATGGGACAGGATATGCTTTTTGAATTTTTTTTTTTTTTTTTTTTTTTTTTTTTTTTTTTTTTTTTTTTTTTTTTTTTTTTTTTTTTTTTTTTTTTTTGCCATTAATTTTGGTTCCAAGAAATTATATTTGGACTACATGCACCTACTGCTTCCTTTTCAGGCTGGGAATTGATGAAGAGCTTGTGGCATTGCTTGGCAGGTACTCTCCGGTAAGTGACATATAATTTTGCATATTTGATTCTGTTGTCTTCACTTGACACACTGCAGATAGTATTTCCTCAAGAAATGTTGTGCAACTTTGGCAACAACATTAATCATGCCATTTCTTATATTCATAATTTTCAATGAACTGTTCCTACCATGAGCATAATATGCCTGTAGTTGGGTAAATGTGCCCCATCATCTAGTGGTTTAAAGTGGGGAATTATGTTAAAAGTTAGTGAATGATGGATATTCTTCCTGAGTTGATACCCAAGCTGTTAATGGATTTTGGTTATCAATCCATTGGCTTATGCAGCTTCATTTTCTATATTATACTGATTTTGATATGCTAGTATTATTGAGATTAGAGGTACAAGTATAAAGTAATCATAAAGACCGAAACTATTTATAGCTTCCACCTTTATGCATAGTGAAAATTAAGCACTTCTGAAGTATCCATGAGCCTAAACTGTCATTTGGAATTTTAACAATCCTAAATGAATCTTTCTCTTAAGAGAGGTTTGAAGGTACAGACTATGGTTCTTTGCTTAATACTTCTGATGGCCACGGAATTTATTCCTGCTAGTTGAAACTTTTAGATGGATTCCACTTTGCCATGGTGAAACCGAGCTCATAGATAAATGCTCTTTACTATGGCTGTCTAGATATGCTGTAATGCCTGGATTATTGATGCATTTGAGGTTTTGGGTGCCAGATTCCGGTGACCTATGCTGGTGGCGTGACTGTAATGAATGATTTAGAGAGGATAAAGACTGCAGGACAGGGACGTGTAGATGTTACTGTGGGTAGTGCTCTTGATATCTTTGGAGGCAACTTACCCTACAAGGATGTTGTTGCTTGGCATATCCAGCAAGAGTCCTTGACGGTGTAGTTCCTCAAATGTTTCATTTGCATGTTTATCATCAAGCAAGAGGAAAAGGGTTCTATTTCATTTTTTATTTCGTAATTGCTTAGATTTTTATACTCGTTGCCTGTATGGAGGATTGTGTCTTATACTGTCTTGTTATACGTTTTTATTGAAACCTTTTGGCTACTGAATTTTGTTGGGGGATAGAAAGATTTGCTTTGGCCTGATGGAAGAACTGAAAATTTGCTACTGAATTAAAATTTACAATCGTATTTCATTACAGTTTACCAAACATTCTTGGTTTTTAGCTCATTTGCACAGGCCAATCAGAAAGACTTCCAAAGCCCTCCACACTTATGGGTCAATTCGGAAAAATAAAAATGACTATTTGTATGAATAAGTATGTCATTTCTTTTGATTGTGGAAGCTTTAAAAACAATTAGTTACTAGAAATTTTTTTTATTAGAAAAATATTTTTTCATTGTTAGCCAGCTAAGGTGAGCCAGCAATTCAATGAATTGAAATAATGTTTGGACTATACGGTAAGAGTAATTTTCCTTTTTGAATAATATTCTCTAAATTGGTGATAATTTTCATGGTTGAAAGAATTCAAATTTGAAATCTCTCATTCCCTGTTCAGACGATATCGATTGGCTAATGAAATCTAATTTAATGAAGTATTTGAAGATAAATGAAATTAAAATTATAATTGCAAATTATGGAAGGTTTTAAGTTTTGGGATAATGTTATTTTTAGTGTTTCAATTTTCAGTTTTTTTTTTTTTTTTTTTTTTTTTTTTTTTTAGTGTTTCAATTTTCAGTTTTTTTTTTTTTTTTTTTTTTTATGTGGAATAACTAGTCGCCCGAAAACACTGGCATTTGGGGCCCATCGTTGATAGTAAAGCTGGCACTCCCAAACCATAGGGCCTGCAATTTTCCACATGCATCAATACAATGTGGATTCCACGTAGTGCTTCACATAATTATTTCTATTTCCTTCCGCGGGAACCTAAGTATGTAATCTTCAACTTTAGATCTTCCTCTGCAAACTTATTTATCTGTTTTCTCTTCACTAACACAAGCAACAGTTTCTCTCCTAATCTCTCAACGCAAGCAGTCACTTCTCTCTTAACTCATTAAATGCAAGTAAAGAAAGGTGAGCGAGGAAATTAAAATAGGCAAGTAAATGTCACATCCATTGAACAGAATTTACTTTTAGAAAAAGCACCCGCAAAAGTTCTGGATGGAATTCATAAATAAAACGTGTATTGCAGCACTTCTGCTCCTATAAGAATAAAAATAAATAACCAGTCTGAGAATTTGTGGGTTATGAAACCAAAACTATTAAAAAAAATACATACTTGTTTCCAAACACAAGCTTGTAAGGAAGTTCTCTTCTTAATGAAGTTACCTTACGCAAAATGAGAGAATCGAACTTCAATGTCCAAGGCAAACGCCGGAAGATAAAATGAGATTCGACTGGGAATGAATTTTTAGAAGGCAAATTTAGGAGTTTTTTTTTTTTTTTTTTTTTTTTGTCTAGTCGGAAAACACTGTGGCATTTGTGGGCCCATCTTTAAAGTGCTGGCTCCAACATGGCCTGCTTTTTTCCACATCATCAATACATGTGGATTCCACGTGTGCTTTCACATAATTTTTCTTTTTCCCTTCGCGGGAACCTAAGTTGTATCTCAATTTGATTCTTCCCTCTGCCTTTTTATCTGTTTCTCTCACTAACCAAGCAATCAGTTTCTCTCCTAACTCTCAACGCAAGCAGTCACTTTTCTCTCTCTAACTCTTAATGCAAGTAAGAGTGAGCGAGATAATAGGCAAGTATGTCACATCCATGACAGAATTCTTGAAAAGCACCCGCAAAAGTCTGGTTTGGATTCTAATAAAACGTGTATGCAGCACTCTGCTCTTAGAATAAAAATAAATAACCCAGTTGAGAATTTGTGGGTTTGAACCAAAATATAAAAAATACATACTTGTTTCCAAACAAGTTGTGAAGGAGTTCTTCTTCTATGAAGTTACCTCGCAAAATGAGGAGTATCGAACTTCAATGTCCAAGGCACGCCGGAGATAAATGAGATTCGACTGGGAATTGAATTTTTAGAAGGCAAATTAGAAGTTAATAACATGTCCACATGGGCTCTAAATCGCAAGTTGATTTGCAGCTTCTTTGTGCCATGTAATATGACATACGTGAAAAAGTGAGTTTCACGTATCAAATCGAGACGCAGAAATGTAAATTTTTTAAAATTTTTTACGTTTAATTAATAATATTTTTTATTAAACATCAAAATAGAAAAAATTTAAAAAATTAAAGACTAAAATTATAATTATTCCTTAATTTTTTTGAAAAAGTATGAAAGATTCTATTATAGGTTGAATCTCTATGCACTTAAAAACCATGAGTAATAAATTAAATAAGTGACATTTGGAAAATGATAATTTATTTTCAATTAAGAGTACAATTAAGGAAAAATTCTAACCACCACAATTATTATTATTATAATTAATTAAATATAACCGATATTTCACTCCCAACAGAAATTTAAGCCACAACTTTATTTTGGAGCGAAGATACGATAGCAACATGCTTCTTCTCTGCAGGGCTTCAACGATGATTCAATCTCTGCCAAAAACTATCACTGCCACTTCTGCAAACCCCAACAAACCATCCTGGAACGTAATCAATTCCAATGCCACCGAAAGAACCGCCTCTTCACCGCCGAGAAGAGCCATGTCATCCGCTTTCGAAGCTCGTGTGTCTCTCGTCTTTGCTATTGCTTCCCAGTCTTCCAATGTCTCTCGGCGACGTAAATTTTATGAAATTTCTTGGTATATGCGTTTCTGTGTTTTAATTCAAATAGTTTTTAAGCTTTGATTGCATTTTTTTATTGCAGTTTTGTTCGATTTGGCAAATGAGACTGCGAAATACTTGTTTCCTAGGAGGTTCGAAAGCCGCAATGTGGAGGAAGCATTGATGGCTGGTATTTTAAATTTCTTTACAATTTTCAATTGCAGAGTTCTCTAATTCTCTTTCGCTTAATCTTTCTTTAATGGAGTTAAAGTTTTGAGTTCATATCTTTTGCTGTTTTATTAATTATCAATTAGTTCCGGATCTTGAAACTGTGGAGTACAAAGTATTGAGTAGGAGAGATCAGTACGAGATTAGAGAAGTTGAGGTGTATATATATGGATTCAATTCATTCACTCTTTTGCTCTGATTTTTATGGTTAGTTCAACATATTGTGCTAACGTTTAAATTGGCTTACTATTGTTTACAAGCCTTACTTTATAGCGGAGACAACAATGCCAGGGACGAGTGGATTTGATTTCAATGGTGCATCTCAGTCTTTCAATGTCTTAGCCGAATACTTGTTTGGTAAGGTAGTTAAGATGCGAGTCTAGTTGAGGATTGCTAAAGCGTGACTGACTTTGTTAAAATGCTTATTTATTTTGGTTTAGTTCTTATGCAATTTATATTGACTTGTAGAATACAACAAAGGAGAAAATGGAAATGACTACACCTGTTTTTACGCGCAAGAGTCAATCTGATGGAGAGAGAATGGAAATGACAACACCTGTGATAGCAAAGAAGGTGAGTCAATTTATATGTAACTGGAAAAAAAAAAAAAAAAAGAAGGTGGTGAATTTACAGGATGGGTTTCTGTTTACTAAATTGTGAGTCTCAGTTAGCAGATGCAATCATTAATTGCATGCTTATGTTCTCTGTTTGAATCATAATACAGAAGCAAACTGTGTCAGGTTATTGTTATTAGATTCAGTTTGGCTATATTTCCAGCCTAATTTTAATGCTTTGTTACCATTTATGTCTACTTCTAATTTTCTAGAATGAAGGTTTTCATAGGCTCAAACATCTAGCTTATTCTGTTGGTTGATAAAGTAACTGAAAGATGATTTCAATTCCATATGTCAAGTTGTGGGCCTCATCCCTGTGTGGCGAGTCTAGTGGTTCAATTTGCCTATCCCGACCTGGAAAATCTCAGGTCTGGCCATTAGAATAGAGGGTGAAGTTCACTGGTTCACCCGGTGAACCTATAAGAATGGGAGCATCAACTTTGCAGCATAGTTGAAATTGTGATTTTTGCAACTCAGTTACACTTAGTTATAGTTGATCGTAATACTTGTATTTTCATACTTAAGTCTGATTGTTTAACTTTGATCCCAATACTTGTATTTTCAGTATTTAAAGTCTGAATGTATAACTAAGTTATATTCTTTTAAGAATTTTGGTATTTTCTTTTGTTTTGATTTAATATTATCACAACTTCATTTAGGTGGAAGATCAGGATAAGTGGCAGATGTCCTTTGTCATGCCGTCCAAATATGGTGCCGATTTGCCATTTCCTAAAGATCCAAAAGTGAAGATTAAAGAGGTGCCAAGGAAAATTGTTGCAGTTGTGGCCTTTTCAGGTCTGCCCTTTATGATAATTGAGAACTCTCAAACTTTGTGAATATCTTGACTCTGGTTTGTGATCAAATTAGAAAGTTAAATAGCAATTTGTTTTGTGGTAAAGGTGTTAGTGATGTGGTAGATGAACTACGAAGAAGAAGATCCATATTAACATTGCATTCATTATGTTTGATTTGTACGATTGTATATGTGAGATCTTCATCCAGTTGCATTGTCATAGCCATATTTTAGCCTTGATACATTTCAAGCTGGTAGTTGCTTACAATTTCATCAGGGAGTCTCTGTCTTGAGAATATCATTTGTAAAAGATTTTCATTATTGTAAAATGTATTCTTCAATCACACGATTAAAAAAAAAAAAAAATGAAGAGGTGCACCTGTGAATTAAATAGTGAAGATCATAGCAGGATTGATTTATGATAGATGTGGCAGCTGAGTTTCTTGCAAATCAATGTGTAGATAAATTAATGAAGATTTCTCAATTCCTTGGGTGTATAACATGAATGCCCATGATCATTTTTTTTATATCTGAATCAGGTTTTGTTACCGATGAAGATGTTAAACGACGGGAATTGAAGTTACGAAATGCTTTGAAAAATGACATGCAGTTTAGAGTAAAAGAGGGTGCTTCAGTGGAAGTTGCACAGGTAAGAACCTGCAGTGAAATGCTAACAACAGATTCTGGAACACTGTATTTTTGTTTGCCTTTTGCACTAAAACGTCCATTTCAATATTTCTAACTTTCTGTAATTTGGCAACAGTATAATCCCCCTTTTACACTTCCATTTACACGGCGCAATGAGATTGCATTAGAAGTAGAAAAGAAGGAAGGATAGCTGCTTGATACTGATTCTATAATCTTGAGGTATACTGTATATTGATTTTACTTTCCCCTGTAAATTAAGAATATTCTACTCCATGGATATCCATTAAATGAAACTATCAATATTGCTTATATATATAAACTTTGTGAATTATTTCTCTTGAATTACAACTGTACATCAAACTTATGCACAGCAATAGGAAATTTACTGATTCTTTGATAATGGAATTTTGTTGGTCGTAGTGTTCTGTTACTAATACGATAATCACAAATGAATTTTCTAGGGGCAGATCAATACAAAACAGCTGAACTGAAATCCATAAATGTCTGCCAAGAATATAGCATATTTCAGCCAAATATATAGAAAATTTGACCAATGTCCTTTACATTTCTTTCTTTTTCTATTGAGCTTTGGACATTCTAATCCAAAGTTCTATGAGGATGATAAGAACTAAATTTACTATGTGGCAAGAAAATAGACTTAGTTGTCAATAAATCATATAAATTAATAATATAATACAAATTTATGTATCTTGTAAGAGACTTACTTGTCTTATATAACAATCTATCATCATTCTTTTTCATTGCCAAGGAAATCACTATAAGAATGAATCTGAATATCAAAATATCATATCTGGTTGGTTTTTTTTTTTTTTTACCACATGTATCCCAGCCTACTTGGCTACAAATAACTCGACTTTACTTAAAGAGGAAGAGTGCCAAATCACTGATCTCAACAGTCAGTAATATTATCTGATTGTTAGTCTCTTATTATTGGAATATAAAATCAACCAAAATTTCTATAATCAGAGCCTAACTCTTCCAAAAGGGTTAATATATTATAGAGTTTAAATTTTCCACTTAATTGTTTCATTAAATATTTATTATTTTTTATTAAATAATATATAAAAAATCTAAAACAAAAGAAAAAGAAAAAAAATTCAAAGGAGATCATAGACGTTGACCTTTTTTGTTATATGCTTCGGCTCTAATATACATGTACAGATAGTATAATATATAGATTATGAGTTGGGATGAGTTACCATTTTTTTCTTTTAATATAGTATTCCGTATTTTCGTGTTTAAAATGGTATTCTTGAATTATCGGCACAAATATTAAAAGTTGATCATACTTGTAATCCATTTCTTTTGCTGCTTTGTTCTTTCTTCACTTTGTCAAGAAACCTCATATTACCTACTTCAAACTGCTTTCTCTGAATTGGAATGGCGAGAGAATTCTGATGGAGGTAATTCTTTCGTGCTACACAATTCCTTGCGTGAAACATGTTGGCTATGGCTAATACAGTAAGCAAACTACATTGGAATTTTAAATTTGCAGACCTTCAGATTGGGGAAATTTTTTAAGTGACTTTTAAAATGGGCGGCTTCATAGTGGGGATAGTGGGTTTTGAAAATATGGTCACCTAGCTACCTCGAATCTTCATTGGTAGATTCATGCAAGAAGAGGAAAAAATGTACTTGTAATCAAATTTGTATGGCGACAGAATTATTTGCTCATTTCTTTGGATAGATTCACATAGTTTTTTCTTTACTTTTATTATGAGTTAATCTCTCTCAAGCTGGTGGATGAATAGGAACAAAGGGGCAGCCGGCTGCCCATTAAACTTTTTAGTCGTTTCAACGGATTCCTGTTTTTAATTTATGAAATTCGTTCGGGGTAACAGGTTATAGTTTTTTGTTCTTGCAACTGGTTGCAATAAGACTTAAAAGAAATATAAATATTGATAAATTCAAGCCAAAATCACTAATCACAGACATAATCATATTGATTAACCAAATGAACTGTGTTTATTAATTACAATCCAAATTTTTTTAGGCGCAGAGAATTCCTTTTTTAGATGAAGCCCTCAGAACGGTCAAGGCTACAAACTTGTGACTTTACGGGTAGTTAAACAGTAATAAATGGTACAAATAAGGGTATTGATGTTTTTTTTTTTTTTTTTTTTTTTCTACAAACTTTAGTGACTTTACGGGTAGTTAAACAGTAATAAATGCGTACAAATAAGGGTATGATGTTTTTTTTTTTTTTTTTTTTTTGTGACATTAAAAAAAGAATAATTTTTTTTTTTTTTTTTTTTGTGACATTAAAAAAAGAATAAGATAATGAGAATAATGTGTGGATGTTTTCATACATCCATAAGAGGAAAGTAATTTGCTTGTAAACTTTGCTAATGTATACTAACTTCGTGCCTATATATTTATCACATTTAAAATTTCACGTCCTTTAAAAGCATTAAATTTATCTAAGTTACAGTAAATTATTTAATAAAATTGACTATATTACCCTTAATTTAATATATCCAAACACTAAATTTATAAGGAATTAAAGCAATAATTGTTAGTTATATACAAAGGATAAATGTGAAAAAAATAATTTTTATTACTTCTTGAGATTATAAATGTGATTAGAATTTTGGAACATAGTACTTTTTCAAATGTACTCCCTTTGTCTCAAAATATAAGTCATTTTTGAGTGATTATTTTGTATCAAAATATAAGTAGTTTTGAGTATTTTAAAGAGTAATAAATAATATTTTTTCAATATTACCTTTGTTTAGATTAGTTATAATAAATATTTTCACAAATAATTATTTTTTTTTTTTTAGATAAATGATAAGTTAGTTAAATTACCCTTGAGTTTGTCATAATCTAAGAGAATTAGTAACTTTGTTAATTTTTTTTGTAACAACTTTAAACGATTTATATTTTGGAATAGAGAGAATAACAAATATTTTGAAATGGAGCTAGGATAAGGTTTGAAATAAAATTGAGGATGTACAGTACACGCCTGAGGCGTGTAGCCCTTGCGTTACGGGAATTAGGGTGTTCCTAGACTCGGGGCAAAGGCTTGTGCAGTTGTGCCTTTAATTTGATGAGTAAGATATCAAGCATGATAAAAACAGGAACCCAATTCTGACCTTTTTCTCAGCTTTGGGCATTTTTATCTTTTAATAAGCTAAAAACATATCTTAAACTTGATCTTGACTAAATTGTACTCAAAAATTAAGCTACTCAAAATAAGCAAATAGTACCAAATTGTAAACATGCGTGGAATTGTTAACATGAATTCTGCACAAATCAATATGATTAAAATTATAAAGAATAAATCTCAAAATCCAACTATTAGAGATTCAATAGCACACATCTTGAAATTAATTTGAGTACTTACATCAGGATTTCATTTCACGATGCTCTTTACCATTAAAGTTGAGATTAATTCAATTACATATTTCATATATACATCGTTTATCATCCATTATATATTAGTGAAAATCAGTAGGTTCTCAGGAAGGGGACGAAGAGATTAAATTTCGAGCCAGATTAGGTAATTTCTGGTAATGGGTTCGGATACCGATGTTTTACACCAAATAAAAAATCAGTGGACTCTATCATCGTGATTGTGAGGAATGCAAAATTAAGCGTGTGCAAATACACATTGCTGAGGTTTTTTACCCACAATGCATTCGTATTAAGCATTAGATTAGATCGACTTAGTCCTTTCACTCAATTATATCCAACGCCACCATGGCCACCATGGTAGGAGCAGTAGCAGCACTATCCCTAATAATAATGGCGCGTGGATGGAAGTTTGGTTTCTCTTTCTTTTATATATATTCTCTTTCTTTTATATATATATAATATATATAATATATATATAGTATATATATATATATAATATTGCTGCATGATCAAAGAGAGGACTCTGATAGTAGTATGAATGTAGGTGCGCCTATTTTATAGAACTAGAAGGGGGCCTGTTATAATTGCCATGAACACATTTTTAATATTTTTTTTAATGTTCATATATAATATTGCTGCATGATCAAAGAGAGGACTCTGATAGTAGTATAGAATGGGTAGGTGCGCCTATTATAGAACTAGAAGGGCCTTGCTTATATTGCCATGAACACATTTTTATTTTTTTTAATGTATCAGCATGAGTCCGTAACTTTTGGCTACGAGACTATTTTTATTTTGAAATTCGTAATTATCCCTTCCATTGGTGCTTTTTTCTATAGATTAAATTCTTGGCCTTATAGAAATAATCTGTTGAACTCAAATTTATTATATAGCATAACAAATTGCTTAACTTATTACATGTTAAACATGTCTTGTTATCCTTCCCATGATGGTGACTTGTGAAGCTTACATGGAAAAAAATGGTTTCTTTTCTACTTTTATATGGTGACATGAAGCTTATCTGGTAATTCAGATTGTTTCATCAATAGCAATAATTAGATGACACTTTCCCTGTACTGTCTGGATCCACCCATATACGAAGCTAATCTAATGAAGACACAGTGAAAGAATGGACGTATTACTATTCACGGGGAAAAAATGTAAAAGAGTCTTGAAGTATTGAATATATAGATGTAATTTTACTAGTTGAAATGTTTAATAAGTATTACCCTAAAATTTGAGGATATTACAATTTTTTTTTTAAGTTCATCAGGGCGTAGCAAGAAGTTTCTTTTTTTTCCCACTCTCCAAAGCTGCTATTTTCATTTACATCCTTCATGTATCTTGGATGTTCTAATTTTGCATTGAACTAAGCAATACATCCTTTCAGTTAAGTCTAATTGAATGAAACCATATGAATGGTGAGATATGATGGTACTTTGAATGTGCTACAAGCAAACTTGGGTGATATGTGTTAGCTGCAGATTCATTTCTTCTGACTAAAAAGCTAGAGAAGAGATAAACCAAACACTTGTGATTAGAGGACAAGTTAAACTGTCTATTTTCCAATATCTTTCTGGTATACACTATCTATTGTATATTAAATTAAAGGGAAATTATTTGCTAGTCTATTTCGGGTATGCTTTCTAATACAGGCTTCCAAGCTTTACGGTTATCATCATTATCAGATATATCAACACCGTCCACTCTCTTTTGATCCTGAAACTGAGAGACAATATAATCAATTGAAACTCCTCCTTTCTGCAGGAGTTCTTGCAGTTCTTGCTTACTGATGACCAACTTGATTCTCACTACTCCAGTAGTTTCTTGTTTATCTTCTCCTTCTGGAATTGAAAATCTTACTTTCTTCTTAGCTTCTGGAGATGGCAAAGGAAGAGGAACAAGATAATACAAATTACCACCAAGAAGTTTTGCATCTGGTAGAAGATGCTGCAAAGCTTGAACTGAAGCAGATACTGCAAAACCAGAAAAATCTGAAAGGACTTGTTGAACTCTGATTGGTGATTTATATTCAAGAATCTTCCCATCTGGTTTCATGACCTTCACAACCTTTTCTTGCAGAACTAAGCAATTCCCCATGGTTTTTATTGTTCAATAGCTTAAAGAAAACTATGGCAAGTTTTGATTTTCTTGCATGAGAGATGTTGTGATCAGAAATGCAATGTATTTATATGGCAAATGGTTATGAGATTGCCCTTTTTATGTTCAAATATTACTTAAACACCCCTCAATCTTTTTCTGGGCCCCATTGTGTTGATTTTTGCTGGTGTGTATGCTGGACTTGCAACTTAATGGCTTGTGAGCTAGTCATTCTATTTTGAAACTCACAACCGACCTTGTCAGATTGTGGGGGTCAAACCAGAATTGGGAAGTAAATCGGTAAGAAAAAGTATAAATTAAGCATGATTAGCAGTATTATACACAAGTGATTAACATATCATGAAAGCTTAAAAGAATGATTAACATACTAATTGCTAGTTGTTTACACTGTACACCACAAACTGTGTAGCTGTTAATGAGTGGGTAACAATTTTCAGGAACTTGCTTGCTCTTCCTATTTGGGATATAAGTGGATTATCACCAGACACCATTTTTTACGGTGGAGGATTAGCTAGATCTTGTGGGCTCCACATAAAGCTTAAGTTAATGGTTGACCCATTGGTGGATCAGGTTATCTGGTTGACTGCAAGTGCAAGCATTAACTACCTGCTATTAGCAACATAAGGTTAGTAGGCAGAAAGCACTTCCTCCCATTAAAATGCATTAGGGTATATACTAATTACATCTTTATAACCATTTGGTATATGTCTGATTTACCAAATACTATAATTTATAACTTCTATTTTATTGTCAGGATATGGAGTTATTGCAATGGACTACGTAACACGGAAACTGAGATAAAGAAACGTGAAAACATGGAAATGAAATGAGAAACGACGTTTAAAATATAATTTTACAGGAACAAATATTTTATACAGGAAACAGGTACAAGAAAACGTTTCCGAAACGCAGAAACGCCCTTCGCTGGGAGTTTCTGTGCATCATAAGCAATGAATATAAGAGAGAGATGCAAATTCGTTGGATGCACTGAACAACTTTACCAAATAGGAATTTTGAAACTCTAGGAATAATACTTAATATGAAGGAAAGGAGTAACCTTAAAGTAGGAAAATAAAATTAATAACTAAATTAAAGCAACTTGGTTATTAATTTAGTTAGTGTTAAGCCAGCTTGTTTTACACTTTATTACTAGTTAATCCAGATTGGCAGTTGCCTTAATTAATGTCTTTATCACATATATATCAGTGCCCGTCCTAATATATCTTATTGTGACTGTCCACTAACCTACCAATACACATTATATATGTGCTAGTTAGGTCTCAACTCTCATTTCTTAATTTTTGTGGTGACCACGCTACAACCATTAGTGCAGGATTATAAGCTCTCATTTGCTTCAACTGCACTTTAAGGTATGAGAAAGATATTTGTGGGAAACTTGAAGATGCAAATGGCAGAATTACAATTTGGAAGAAGAATTAACGTGGGTTTATGTCCAAAAGAGGGATTGAAATTAAAGAAAAGAAGTTATTGGAGGCTATGAAATGATTGAGAGAGACCCACTAGAATTAAGGGTGATCATGGAAATTTAGAGAGAATTTTACAAGGAAAAAAAAGGGTTTGCTCAGTGCTGAGTGATGTTTTGCACACGCATGATCTAACATAATCAGTTTCTGGGTAATTCTTTAACTATGAGTGGGTAGGAAGTGAACATTTCTTGTTTACTATTCAAAGGAAAGAAAGAATTAGTAAATAAATGAAAATAACAGAAAAAGACAAAGACTTGGGAGCAGAAAAGCAATTGTTACTTTGTTAGTGCTTGTTGCTTATAATGTTTTCCACACGCATGCTTGGGGAAAAAAATTGAAAAAATTAGAGAAGTATTAAATTTTTTTTCCCCCTCGTGTGAATAGAATCTTATAGGAAACCTCTAATCTTAGGTATAAATTTCGTCTTGAAACTTATATTTTTAGTATATGTGCGTGTACATTCATGAACTTATGTAGATAATTAACTCTCGCTCTACTTCTTTTCATAAACACCATATCCAAATCCTAAGCAGGATTGAAGTGTCAAGCTTTGCCTCAATCCTTTCTCTAATATAAGCCATTTACTGATATATTTGATCAATTGTGATGGATTTGAAATAATAATAGTAAGTTATTGACTATTTTTTTTCTATATAAAATGAACAAAAAGAGAGAAATTAAATACCATATATCTTGTTGTGCTTATAAACAATGATGTAAATGAAGACAAGATTTCTTTACCAATGTGTCTAATGGATAGTGACAATGATCATCTATGTTAAAGAAAATTTTGATATTTTGTATAAGATAATGAAAAAAGAAAAGACAAGGAAATCTTGATATTGGTTTGAGTTGATGAAAAAGCTAATTAATTTCAAATAAGGGTACATGCCAATTGCCTAGCATTCGCTGGCTGGGCTAAAGGTTTACTTTAACAATGGAAGATATTTTGGCAAAAAAGAGAGCACAAAAGAGATTAGATCCTGCCTTTTACATAGTGCTTTAACACATTCAAGAATTGCAAGCTTAAAAAAGATGTTCCCTTATAATAAATTATTTTCTCATTTCTATTATTGTATTTATTATTCTCCACTCTTTCGATAAAAGATTTATCTAAATATGAGGCTCTGACCAGTATGTCTTTTAAGGAATGAGCAATGGCTTAATGAAAGGAACCAATAGAAAAATATTGAAAGCAAGTCTTTATAGGACAATTCTCAATTCCTATGAACTCGAACCTAGGTGATTTACGCAAAATGATTTGGGTGAAACTAAGAGGAGGCTCGAAACTATTGATGTTGAAGAATCAATGAATGAGTTGTTGTTAGGGGTGAAATGCCCCTCGAACCTAGAGCTAGTTGATTCTCTACGAAATATGTTGAGGCGCTACAGTTAACTATATATATATAGATAAAATACTGTTTTGATGCAGGTTGCGAAAGACAGTATTAAATCTAGATATAACTCTTTATAAATTAAGTATCTGAATCCCCTCTTGAACCAGTTTAGAAATTCATTTTTATTATTCAAGTTTGTCCCTAATCCGATTACAATTATATATTTATTATTTGAACTCGTTTAACATTAAAAATATATTTTTTATTTTAAAATATAAAATAAGTAAAATTTATAAAACTATAGTTTTACTTAATAAAAAAATATAATATTAATGTTAAACATAATTATAGTATTAATTATAGGTAGAATGGAATATTTTTTTTTGAAAATAATTATTTTAAATATTTTTAGAGTATTAATTAAAAGGATAACAAACAATAGACACTCGATTCCTCCTCGAGCTCGAAGACAATACATGTCATAAAAAAATTAATTCAACCTGTGAAAATTAATCGGATCGAATACCTGACTTATGGGGTAAATTTGTAATCCAAAATTTTACTACTGTAATATTTATGTCAGGATGATGAATGCGTTTTCTTCCCACTATAAATACAGTAATTGTTTTATGTAACCATGATAAAGGGACCTAAGTAAGAAATGGTTGAGCCTAGCTAGGGTTTCACTTTTCCTATCTTATGAATAATTTTGAACTCCTTTGACTTATCATATTTTTGTTGTTTTATGTAATCGTGATCAAAGGGACCCACCCAAAACTAGCCAATGCTAGAGCACTATGATTTTACTTTTTCTTTTATTGATTGATATGTGTACAGTTTTAAACTTCTTCAACTTATCATATTTTATCTATTCAATTATTTATTATTATTATTAAGAATTACGTTAGTAGTTAGCTGTTAGTTGTTATAAAGAAAGAGAAGCGAAAAGGGGGAAGATGGAGGACCGAGACATCACTTCATGGAGGAAGAAACAAAACTCTAGGGCTTAGCAGAGGAGGAAATTTAGCTAAATCTGTAAATTAACCTTTGTATTTATTTTAAAATATCTTGTAACATTGTAAACTTCGCAACAAATCTATTTTATACTTAAAATTATGAATTTTGATAACACTTGAGAGTTAGCCCTAAAAACTTGAAATGAGACTTCCAATTTCTAACATTTTCTATAAAATATAGGAAATTAATCATATCACACCTGATTGGTGATTTAAATGTCCTATTAAATTCTTAAATTTTAATAGTTTCATATTAAATTCTTGTATTTTCATTAAGAAATTTCTTTTTGATATTTCCATTTATCATAAACAATATCCTCTCACATGAAAAAAATATTAAAATTTTAAGAATCAAATTAGAGCAATTAAAATTTATATATTCAACACGCAAACCCATGCCACTTTTCACCCATGTTTTTCTTTTTGTACATTTCCTGTGGAGTTGGGATTCCCCCTCCATTGGTAGCTCTACAAGGCATGTTTTATCACATGTACAAATTTTTATTTCACAATTTTGTCCTCTTCGAAGAATTCAAAATGGAAAACCAACTCCACCTTCCAACATTCTTTTCTCATTCAAGATTTTCATTTTGGATTCCCCTCCCAACATCTCCTTTCTCTTTGTTGCTTTGTTGCCACTATATGCACATTTGCTCTAAGTGGGAGGGGACCATGGTCTGCTGACGTGGCATATCGGAGTATGACACTTGCTCCTCAGTGGTTGGCCGGCACCGCCAAGTAGAATTCTGTCCGACTTCGACAGTTATTGTTGACTTGGAGTTTCAAATTATAATTACTATTAGTTAAGCGCCTAATCTATAATATATATAATATAATATAATATATAAAAGTACGAATAAGATCATTCAATTCTATTGCTAATAATAAGGATAATTTAGTCATTTATTAATTAGAAAATTTTTAATTTTATTGGTATTTTTATTCCTATTTGAATCTAAATTTTATTGAAAAAGTTAATCTAATCCTATTCTAATTATGATATCAATTTTAATAATAAGGATAATTTTAGTCATTTATTAATTAGAAATTTTTAATTTTATTGGTATTTTTATTCCTATTGAATCTAAATTTTATGAAAAAGTTAATCTAATCCTATTCTAATATGATATCAATTTATTATTTTTATTATATTAATATTAATTAGAAATTTTTCTATTCATAACCAAATATATATATATAT